AGCCCAAAGGACCAGTAACCGACACGGAGCACCCCCTAATCGAGGACTCCGTCAGCACAGGCTTTGCACGACGACACATCCTAGTGGCGGCAAGAGGGGAAGTAGATGGAATGGCTGCTAGGGCTTGGCTCGACCTGGATTCACAAAACATTGATTATACTTGTCGTAAACCTAGAGTAATTTCGGTTGCTTCGTTAATTTATTTATTGAGTCTCACCATGACCTATATATAAGCCTGTGGCCAACATTGCATGTCAATGCTGGTATGAATTCAGTTGAATGAAAGCTACTTTGTCATCCCCAAGGACTTGTTCCGTGACATATACTCCTTTCATCATAAGTGTCGCTAATTTAATATAAATTCTCACGACATTTATTTCGGGCTAGAGGAAGTATAAAATATATGTCTTCGAATTTTCATGTAAGTGTGATACCGTAAACAATTTCCCTTTATGTACTTTGCAGCTTCATACTTTTCCCCACCTTTTATCATTCATTGAATAAGCGGGTAGCGTATTGTAACATCCCTACCCTTCAATTGTTTTTCGATTTCTTGAGGGAATTGTCTTTTCTTTCTAAGAACAAGTGTTGCAGGCTGGGGGTACACTTGGTTGATGGTTCTTTTCGATAATTTTCGAACAAAGTTATCTACCTTCTATCGTCCCTTGGAGAAAAGGATTGGCCGAAAAGGGACCATGCATCAACATCCATGCTTCTGTGGTTCCGTGTCTTCTGATCCGACATTCAGGGGCTGTTTGGATTGCGACTATCTTTGCCATGTATTGCAACATGATTTTTGTTATACTTGCCATACTTGCCTTACTTGAGTTGTTTAAATTGTCCATACTTTGGCTTACCTAAGAGAATCTTACCATACTTTTTATTTCTATGACATGTGGGGTTCACTGTTTATAAATAAATTCTTATCTTAGGTATCGCTAGAATCAAACACCTATCTAACTTGATCAAATTTGACTAAAATGAGGTGTGACAAAGTATGACAAAGTTTGGAACCAAACAGCCCCTCACTTTGATTCAACTACACAACTCTCCATATTTCTCTTCTTCCCATGGAAAAGATAGATCATTCGACATAGTCCCCCTCGACATATGCAACACCTCTGTTAACACGTGATCTAAGCAGATTTCAGAAAGCTAATTAATAAAATCACCAGGGCAGCGGACGCAGCAATAATCTCATGCATGCATGACAGTGACAGAAAAAAGTTGCATATTTTTTTTTGCATGGTAAAATGTTGCATTTGATTGCTCCTAGTAGTACAGACTAGAGAGACCACATAGCAGTATCACTGTTCATGCATGCAAGTGTGTACGTGTGAGCGCTTCTGATTAGAAGCAACCATGCCACCATGGTACCTGCAGGCAACTCAATCAAAGCGTATCTTTGTTTTTCTAGCCTTCCAGGTTCTACCAACACCATCGCAAAAAAAGAAAAGGTTCTACCAACACACAAGGTTAGAATATCTCCAACCCCGTCTATCCTACCAGACATCCAAAATGTTCACCAACGCGTCCGAACGGTCCGTGGCGCGCTAGTGGCCACGGCTATTCAATCCAATGCATTAAAAATAAAAGCAAACACGCCCGTTTTTTTAATAGTAGATTTCTTTTTTACGTAGCAAAAGTGACTGGCCCTAATCTACTCTGTGCCGGCCAAGGGCACGTCCGTGTCCCACCTACTCTTCAACGCCGGAGTCCATCGTTTGGCAGTTGACGTCACCGGTGGAGGTGAGATCAACGACCGATGCGGACAGCCCGGCCTCGTGGCCATCCTGTAGCATCTGGAACATGAAGACCGGCGGCACCGCCTGCTCCTTCTCCGTCATGACCTCGTCGAAGTGCGCCTGCGCCTTGGTAAAGCTCAGGGCCTAGGCGGTCGTGGGCTCATGATCGAGGTCGGACGAGTCGTCATCCGATCTCTCCTTTGGCGAGCTCGAAGGCAGACCATCCTCTACACGTTTTGTGCGTCAGTCCTGCCAGTGGAAGGTGCCTACGATCTCATGTGGCGCCACGACAGAAGGTGCTTCCACCACGTTGTGCCGCTCACGATCATTGCGCCGATGGTTGTTGTCGAAGGAGGAGGAATGGAAGTGATGGTGCACCGACGGTCGTGAACGAAGGAGTAAGAGAAGCAGAGAAAGTGTGGTTTGTGTCGTGCGTGGACGTGTTTATATGTTGGGCATTGGCCAGGCCAAGCGGCAATTTGATGTGGGAGCTCATAGTGGGTTTCTTGGCCGCCGCGCCTATTCAATGTCGAGCAGGCAGACGGAGGAGCATCCGTCTTCAATGTAGTAGGAATCCATCCCGGGGTCCTGACATGTCTAGATTAGATCTGGTGTTTCTGGACTCTGCGGCGGCTGGAATTGATTTTCGTTGACTCTCCTAGGGTTTCTCGAATATTGGGGTATTTATAGGGCAAAAAGGCGGTCCAGGGGCACCCGAGGTGGGCACAACCCACCAGGGCGCGCCTGGGCTTCCTAGCACGCCCTGGTGGGTTGTGCTCCCCTCGGAGCACCCCCCAAGCGCAGCCTTGGCCCATTAGGTGTCTTCTGGTCCATAAAAAATCTCCGTGAAGTTTCGTTGCATTTGGACTCCGTTTAGTATTGATTTCCTACGATGTAAAAAACATGGAGAAAACAACAACTGGCACTTGGCACTATGTCAATAGGTTAGTACCAAAAAATGATATAAAATAATTATAAAACATCCAAGATTGATAATATAACAGCATGGAACAATAAAAAATTATAGATATGTGGGAGACGTATCAACATCCCCAAGGTTAACTCCTACTCTCCTCGAGTAGGTAAGTGATAAAAACAGAACTTTTGATGTGGAATGCTGCCTAACATGTCATCTCATATTTCTTTTATTTATAGCATGGACATTTGGACTTTTATATTGTTCAAAGCAATAGTCTAATTTTGACATGACAACTTAAATACTCAAGCATATCAAGAAGCAAACCATGTCTTTCAAAATATCAACGCTAAAATAAGTTACCCCTAGCCCATTATGCTTAATCATTGATCCATTCATGAAACACACTCGCATATTAACTACACCCGATGCTCAAGTATGATCATAGTGCCTCCTAGTTGGTGCTTCTATAAGAGAAGATGGAGGCTCAAATTCAAAAATAAAAATTTCATAAAATAAAAATATCATACAAGACGCTCCAAGCAAAACACATAGTATGTGATGAATAAAAATATAGTTTCGAGTAAAATACCGATGGTCGTTAGAAGAAAGAGGGGATGCCACTCTGGGCATCCCCAACCTTAGTTGCTTGCTCTCTTTTGGATAATAGCTTGGGATGCCGGGGCATCCCCAAGCTTAGGCTCTTCTTACTCCTTATTCCTTCATCCATCGTAAGATAACCCAAAAGTTGAAAACTTCAATCACACAAAACTCAACAAAACCTTTGTGAGATCTGTTAGTATAAGAAAGCAAATCACTACTATAAGTATAGTAGAAAACCAATTAATTTTAGTTCTTGCATTATATCTACTATATACCAAATTTTC